GACGAAGGACAGATTGACCAATACTTTATCCCAATATAATATGGTCCGATTCGTATCCGGATATATAGCCTGAATCAAGACACCAAAAAATTACCTTATGTCAAGACATGACATAGACAAAAAGCGAATTTTACACGTGCGCAGTCAAAGTTATAGGCATTCAAAACTCGCTGACAGGAGGGTGGTTGGGGGTGGGTTTGAGACCGGGACAAATCAGGCGTGAAGTTTGGGGTTTTGGGTGGGGTAAACAATATTAGGGTAATTAAATTCCGGATAAGAGACACACATCCGTATAACGGGGTTTAATGCTTCACTTGATCCACAATGCGCGCCAAAAGGAAGGACCTCTCCAAGACTGTCCGTGAGGCCATACTTCAGCAACTCATGGCACATTTGGTAGATAACAAGAAGCTGATCCGTGGCGCACTCAACAAGATTGCACTTGACTTTGGCGGACATCGTGGAACTGTACAGAGGATGTGGAAACGTGCCAATGTTGACTTGGACAACACGTTGCGGCCCTTCTCCGACGTCTCATCACACAAGAGGAACTCAGGTCGAAACCTCAAGCACGATGACGTTGCAAACCGTCTAAGAGCCATTCCAAAGGCCAGACGAAGCACTTTCAGGTCGATCGCTGCAGCCATGGGCATACCTCGTACAACTCTCTTCCAATACTATCGACGTGGCATCTTTCGAAAGTACAACAGCACTCTGCGCCCAGCGCTGACAGATGCCAACAAGGTGGTGCGGACCTGTTGGGCGATGAACCATATTCATCAACATGCCATGGACGCATCGGAATTTGTCTTTGATGACATGATGCAAAGCGTCCACATCGACGAGAAATGGTTTTATGCAACCCGGGTGAAGCGGTCATACTACTTGGCACCTGGCGTGGAACCTCCTCATAGAACCTGCAAGTCCAAGCGCTTCATCACGAAGGTGAGGTTTCTCTCTGCCGTTGCCCGTCCACGTTGGGATGATGTGAATGAAACTTGGTTCGATGGCAAGATTGGCACATGGCACTTCACAGCTCAAGTGCCAGCTCAGCGAAAAAGCCGCAATCGTCCGGCAGGAACAATGCAAACAGTTCCTGTCAGTGTGACTCGACCGGTGTACAAGGCCATGCTTCTTGAGAGGGTAATCCCAACCATCAAGGCCGTATGGCCGAAAGGAAGTG